TGTGCCATTATTCCCTAAACAATGTAACTACTATTTTTCATGGCATTTAGATTGCATTAGGGTTTTTTTTTTTGTTTTTTTTTTTTTTTTTTTTACAGGCAGTGTGGACAGTGAGAGAGAGAGAGAGAGACAGAGAGAAAGGTCTTCCTTTGCCGTTGGTTCACCCTCCAATGGCTGCCGCGGCCAGCGCGCTGCGGCCGGCGCACCGTGCTGATCCGATGGCAGAAGCCAGGTACTTATTCTGATCTCCCATGGGGTGCAGGGCCCAAGGACTTGGACCATCCTCCACTGTACTCCCTGGCCACAGCAGAGAGCTGGCCTGGAAGAGGGGCAAGCGGGGCAGAATCCGGCGCCCCGACCTGGACTAGAACCCGGTGTGCCGGCACTGTAAGGCGGAGGATTAGCCTAGTGAGCCGCGGTGCAGGCCCTGCATTAGGTCTTATAAGTAATCTCAAGATGATTTAAAGTAGTGAGACAATGTGCATAGGTTATATGCAAATACTACATCATTTAAAATCAAGAGACAAAGCATCAACAATTCTATTATCTAAAGGGGTTCCTGTAATCAATTATCTTTAAATATAGAGAGATGAGTTTATATTGTACAGAATTAAGTTATGAAGCAATGAAGTTTTGCTAGATCTTTAATTACTCAACAATGCTAGGTGTCTTCTGACTTTGCTCCTTGCTGTGTCTTGTAACAAAGTTCTTAATCTTTCTTACACCCAGGCTCCTCCATTATAGCAAAGGATAAAATAATATTTCTAATGAAGTCCAGTGGGAAAATTCAACATCATGAATATTATGTACTTAGTAGGCTCTCAGATGTGCAAGTACATGGTCAATGAAAGCTACTGCTTTCAATTCTCAAATATCTATACAAACAACCCCTATTTCAGGGTTCAGTTATAGATGTATATGTTATCTTTTTCAGATAGCTATAGAAATAATAATTTCCACATGGCAATCAAGATTGGTGCATACTGAAATGCTGCATGGATATCTGGTTCTTGGGAGGGGTGATCACTGACTTGGTTTCATGGTCATAGGTGATAGCTACATACTATATTTTATGTTTGTGCATATGTAAAGTACCAGCTTTTTTTTTATTGGAATCCAATTGTGATGATTTTGAGTTTGCGTCAGCATAATGACAGCAACAATAAGAGCTGTATTGAGACACTGTCATTTGCCAGGAGCTAAGTTTCTTGAGTTATATGCATTATATTGGCTGAAATAAAGACACAATCTGGTATCCTAGGAAGAACTAGAGACTGGATGGTATTTACAGGTTCTTGGACTCTAATGTCATTCAGAGTCTTACCCAGGTAGCCAAATAATAAACCTGCTTCTTATCTGCAGTTTTCACTCTCCAGAAATGAGTAAGAAGAGCTTTTGGAAATGGAAAAGGAATAATCTTTCTATTGAAGTATCAGAATATTAACTTCCAGAGGAAATTAATGTAGCCCTCTTTTTAAACAAGTATGTTACATGTGAAGATGTTTAAAATCTTTGAGTTCCTACATCCATACTTTAATTCTAGTCAAGGCTCTTATTTTTTGAGAAAAATGTTAATCCTTAATTTGCCTACATGAAATCCACTTGTCTTCTCATTTTCACTGTTACTTTTAACAGTTGAGACTATCATCCCGTCTATCCTTTCCTTTTAAACTCACCGATTTTTCAAATATGAGTTCATTCAAATCTAACTCACTTTTCTCCCCAGCACTCAGGTCACTTGAGTGTGCCGAGGGCAAAAAAGATTTCAGAAAACACAATTCTTTTGAGGAGTCACTGTGCCTGCTGCAAAATTATTCGAATGAAAAGATTTTTTTTAGGTAAAATGACAATTAAGGTCGACCTCCTCTGCTCAAATTAAAAAAGAGAAAAAGGAGTGTAATGAAGAATCTGACTCCTTCCTCTAATTTTACAAGTTCAATGGTAATCTAACCGTGCCATTCATTTACAGAAACCATTAATTTTACTATGTGGCTGAAAGTAGTAGGCCTCAGCTTTCATTCTCTTACTTTTCCCCTCCCTTAGTCTTTGTGTGTGCACCTGTTCAGGCCACTTTAGCATCCCATTTGTAAAACTTTGGGTAATCCTCTGGCACTAACCCTGGTGTGATAATACTTCTGTTATTCAGCAGCCTAATTACAAAGGACAACACAGATAAAACACTTCAGTCTTATTTTTAATAGCTGATTTGCCAATTTTGCCAAGCTCTAAAGAGAATGGTCTCCAAACCTTGCTGGATTTAAATTTAATCTGAATTTGTTCAGCACATGGAACTCCAATACCTCACACCAGATCTTTTGTTCTTAGATTTTTTTTTTTTTTGGACACCTTACTCCTCCTTACACCTTCATTCCTTTTTAATGGTGATGTAAGAATCTATTTTTTAGAATATCATTTCATAAGACAGAGTATTTTTAAGCATTCACCCCATCCATTTGAGACAACCATTGACACCCTCCAATAACATGACAATTTGAGAATTAGAATATTAGCCATTCAAAACTGCTTTTACTTAACCAGTCGCAAAGAAAAATGAACTAGTAACACTTCATAATAAAAACAATTTCTCTAAGGGTAATATTTTCAGAAGTGGAGCTCCATAAAAAAACAAACAAACAAACATGTGTTTAATGTTTCTTTTCTCATTTGAGATGGGAAAGAAAGGATTATTTCTAATTCATGGAGAACCCAAAGCAAAGATCATTACTTCAGTACAGATAAGCCTGCTAGTGTCTAGGTACTTAATTCTATTCCTTTGATCTAGAAATGGGCTAGAGATCTAGCAATAAGGGCAATCCAATGAGTTCTGGGTACCCCCTGATCTGGTGGAGAATTTCCTGATCCTGATATTTGGAGGATTCACTAAATGTGTCCCCCAAAACATACTGTGGGGTTTCAGAGGGCACTTTGAAACTGAAGGGCAGCCCCTGCCACTACTTTCCTAATCCTTTGATTTTGAAACTCCAAATAACTCAAGAGAAATTTAATACATATGTTTCTGATTCATTTACACTGCTTCATCAAAACGGTGTTTCGTAAGAGCTATTTGATATCTAAGAAGCTTTCTTAATCTTTTTTCTAAGCCTTTTATTTTGCTCCAGGAAATCACATTTTCTTCGTGTTCAGCAAAATTAGAAGCAGAGGAGGCTTAAGTTTGGTTCTAAAGGTCATAATCACAAAATCAGTGGAAGTTTGCAAGTTGGCAAACTATGTCACTCTTCTATCTTACAGCACCTGACAAGAGGAAAACCCAAGGATATTATCAAAAGTAGATGCCAGAGGTTAATTTCAGTGGCCAATCTATTCAATATTTCATCAGCATGTACATTTCTTCTTTCTAAGATGCTAAGGTTGTATATTTAATAGCCATAGGAGGCACGTTCATTTCATTTTAAAGATGCGTAAATCTATCACAGACTAAAGTGGCTCTTATTTTACTGCAAAGAGACACCATACATTGTTACAAATATCAGCTACTATGAGTCATCTACACAGCTTCTGAGACATTTAACTCAGGTAAAGAGCAAGTAAGAGAACAAACATCCACTGGAGAGGATAGAATTCTATTAATGCTGGGCAATTTCAATGTTTTAGGGGAAAGTTCAAGGTTTGAAATTTGAATACTTGGGGACCAGTGCTTTGGCGTAGCGGGTAAAGCCGCCACCTACAGTGCCAGCATCCCATATTGGTGCCGGTTCTGGTCCTGGCTGTTCCCCTTCTGATCCAGCTCTCTGTTATGGCCTGGGAAAGCAGTAGAAGATGGCCCACGCGCTTTGGCCCTTACACCTGTGTGGGAGACCCAGAAGAAGCTCCTGGCTCCTGGTTTCGGATCAGTGCAATTCTGATCATTGCATCCATTTGGAGAGTGAACCAGATGGAAGACCTCTCTCTCTCTCTCACTCTCGCTCTGCCACTCCTTCTCTCTCTGTGTAACTCTTTCAAGTAAAATAAATAAATCTTTTTTAAAAAAAAGAAATTTGCATACTTGATCAATCACTGAAATTCCCCAAAAGAGAAATAATAATTGAGAAACATCAAAATAGAGCCAGCATTCAGTGAGTCATTTGTAATAATTTATTCATTTGTAATAACATCAATGGAGCACTTAATCAAGGCCAGGCATTGTGCTAAGTACTTAATAAAAATTGTATCTTCTAATTTTCACATGATACTATGGAAGTAGGCACTACTATTTTTATGACCATTTTCCCCAATGAGGAATATGAGGTTCAACAGTCAACAAGGAATGATTATCAGGTCAGGCCCAGCTGTTTCAGTCATTTCTTACGTTAGTGTTGTCACTCCCCCTCTTCGCGGAGGAACGACACAGGGCCCTGAGCTGTTCTTTTGTCTGCTCGGCCCTCCCCGGGTTTGCTGCTGGTTCTTCCCGGGTTGGCTGCCGTCCCTTCCACCTCCTTGGAAGGGCGGTGCCCCCTGCCACTTTCCCTACTTCCGCGGGGGAGCGGCACACCGCCGGCCGGCTCTCTCGGGGGCTGCTCAGATGTTCCTCAGGTGTTCCCCTTAGATGTTCCTGGTGCATGTTGTCTCTCTCCTCCTTTATAGTCCTCTTCCACCAATCCCAACTCTGCTACCCACACGCCGAGTATGCTGCTCTCCTCAAATCAGGAGCAGGATCAGCTCCTGCAGGTTACTGGTTGAACTGGAGGCAGCTGTGTAGAAGCTGTTTCCTCCTCTCTCAGCGCCATATTGTGGGAGAGCAGATGCATAGAGTAAGTCTGAATTCCAGTAACTTAGTCTAGTCCGAGTTGCTCCCCACAAGTGTGACCTTGCTATTCAATGATTTGACACATTCAATGACATGACTACCATGATTAAATGTTATGAATAGGCTAAAATTTACAAATCAACACTCAGAGTCATGTTAATGAGTTGGATATTATGAATCAACTACAGCTGACCCATGCTACCAGTGAGAGATTGAGGAAATGATGAAGTGTGACTTTTTTTTTTTTTTTTGACAGGCAGAGTGGACAGTGAGAGAGAGAGAGACAGAGAGAAAGGTCTTCCTTAGCCGTTGGTTCACCCTCCAATGGCCGCCGCGCTGATGTGAAGGTAGGTGCTTCTCCTGGTCTCCCATGGGGTGCAGGGCCCAAGCACTTGGGCCATCCTCCACTGCACTCCCGGGCCACAGCAGAGAGCTGGCCTGGAAGAGGGGCAACCGGGACAGAATCTGGTGCCCCGACCGAGACTAGAACCCGGTGTGCCGGCACCACAGGCAGAGGATTAGCCTATTGAGCTGCGGCGCCGGCCCTGAAGTGTGACTTCTAAAGCTAGATTACAGGAGACGTTGCTGCCTATTTCAGTTGCTTTGTGATGAGGACACCGGGCAAGCTTATGCAGAAATCCACAAGGAGAAACTCTAAAGAGTCAGCCAAAGAGCCGTGCAAGTGTGCTGCCCTTCCAAGAGTTCTCCCACCCCTGGCAGGCCCGCAGGTGCCAGCGTCCTTCACAGACATCTTCACAGAGACCTCAGGAGAGATGCTGAGCAAGAATCTCTCATCTCAGCTGCTCTGAGATCTGGTGTACACAACCCGTGTGATTAAAAGATGCTAGTTATTGACTTTGGTTACTAAATTTTAATTTTTTAAATTTCTTTTTCTTTGACAGGTATAGTTATAGACAGTGAGAGAGACAAAGGTCTTTCTTTCGCTGGTTCACTCCCCAAATGGCCACCATGGCCAGAGCTATGCTGATCCAAAGCCAGGAGCCAGGTGCTTCCTCCTGGTCTCCCATGCGGGTGCAGGGGTCCAAGCACTTGGGCCATCCTCCACTGCCCTCCCAGGCCACAGCAGAGAGCTGGATTGGAAGAGGAGCAACCAGGACTAGAACCCAGTGCCCATATGGGATGCTGGTGCTGCAGGTGGAGGATTAACCGAGTGAGCCACGGCACCAGCCCCTGACTTGGGTTACTAAATTTTGAAGCAGTTTACTTTGCAGCAATAGCTAACTAGCACCAAGCTGAACTTAGTAATGTAGAGTCAGACTTGGATATTTAGAAAAACTAGTGTATGATGTCAGTCAGCACCTTCTTCTATGGCTCATCTTCTTCCTCTTCATTTTGGCCCAACAGAAAGCAGATGATGGGACTCTTAGCTTTTGTATAAGAATTAGGCCTAACAATTCCTTTTCCTAGTAATGCTTCATATTGGCTTGGATATAGTTTGTGGATGATTTATTAGGGTTATTAGGGTGTGTGTGTGTGTGTGATAGAGAGAGAGAGAGAGAGAGAGAGAGAGTGTGTGTGTGTATTTGAGTGTGCATGTGTTGTCTTAAAGATCCACAGTATGGGGCCGGCACTGTGGCACAGAGGGTTGAATTGTCTGTGACATGACATTCCATATGGGTGCCAGTGCAAGTCCCAACTGCTCTGCTTCCTTCCCAGTTACCTGCTGTGCATCTGGGAAAGCAGCGGAAGATGGCCCAAACATGGGGGACCTGGAAGAAATTCCAGACACTTGGCTTCATCCTGGACCTGGCTGGTCATTAAGGGAGTGAACCAGTAAATGGAAGATCTCTCTCTCTCTCTCTCTCTCCCCCCACAGTAATTTTGACTCCTAGCAAAACAGTTCTGAAGCATCATGAAAATTAGATTCTGGTTTCTGATATACAGTGTAGTCTTGGTCAGGACGATTTTCAGTTCTTTGAATGTCCGTTCACTTATTTTTAAATCTGAAAGGCTCTCTTAGTTTTATGAATGAATTATATGTTTATAGCAAGGCCTATCAATGTTGGCAAATATTCTTGGTCTTCAGAGACAGTTGCAAGGAACCACAGCATGTCACTAATTGAAAAAGAGAGGAGATTTTGTTTGAAAGTGAGCATATGCACAATATTATTCAAATGATCTTCATTATATAACTACACACACCCTGTGTTAGAAGCCAAAAGAATATCTCCTAGCACAAATCCCAATGAGTGGCAACGTAACAAGGGATTAATATAGACATCTTGGAGATGAGCATTCAACAAAATTTTTCTTTAAAAAATTTCATTTTCTGTGATTTTTTTTAGTACTATCTGATGCATGAAGGAGAGGAATTCAAGTGTGCCTGAATGTTTATTCTTGTCAACAGCCAAGGATGATCTCAGCCAGATTTCTTAGCTCCAACGGGGGAACATCACTGATGACACTGAGGAAGTGACTGGCTAAAGCACTCTGCACCATTGGCTGAACTAAGCTCACAAGTCTTGGGGAGCTTCAGACAAGAAAAGTGTCACCCATAAGAGCAATATCTACATTGTATTATATACAATGTTAGAATCTTTGCTCTGGCCTTTACTGACACTTATGTGTAACTTTGAAAAAAGTATTTAATCTCTCAAAGTGACATCCTCTATAAATGGGTCTCAAACTATATCACCTCATAGAGGTATTGAAGAATTAAATTATATAAACTGGGAAAACATTCAGCATGGTATCCCACACATTGTACAATCTAAATAATGGCATCCAATATCATAATATGTACAACTACAATTTCACCTACGACCCAAGTTTGACCATGAATTCTCTTTTTGGAGACAGTTCTAAGGAAAGCTAAAGCTTTTTGTTTGTTTCAGAGAGACACATTTCAACTGGGAATTACAGCATATTTACAAATCCTGCCTGTAAGCCCAATCAGAGAGAAGACATAGATTCTTTCACAATGAAGAAAGGAAAACACTGAAAAGCAGTGTATGATTTTACAATACTTACTTCACTCGGACTGATGGATAACTTTTTGTCCCAGAAAGGGGGAGGGCTCTTCATGCAAGAGACAGTAATGTCATTATTCATGCTGTAAGCCAGCCCACTTCAACTGCTGGTCTTCACAATGCCTACAAGTGTAAAAAAAAAAAAAAAAAAAGAATACAAAAAAACCACTTGCTTCCTTTTTTTTTTATGAGTATTGACATTCTTGTGCAGTATTAGGAGAGCTAATTTAGCTTCCAGTTCTAAGAATTTTTGAATCTATAGCCAGTAATTATTGGCATTCAGAGGTACAAAAGAGGAAAACAAAGCCTGCAAATTCTAGCACATTCATGTGGGATTGGGAGCTGAATTAGGATCCTCACACCCCATTGAATGATCAGCCCCCCTATTAGAGCCTTATTAAAATGGTAATGATTATATGCCAGCTATAGGCAGGCAGCCGCACCTGTCAAAAACTACCCCGATTATCCTGTTCATTGAACTGTCTGGCTCTTGAATCAGTGTCTCAGGTTTACTCCTCTGTGAAGTTTTTTTTTCCCCCTGTCTTAAATGTTTCTAAAAAGATACAAGAACAAACATTTCCGTGGGGTCATAGAACACTCTTGCAGTTTATTTTATCTCCTCCTCATTTTCTGTTTTTGTATCTGATATGACGGTACAGTGAGTCAGAAATCTTCTCTTTGATTTGGGATAGGAACAGGATTAAGAAACAAAAATATAAAGTCTCCGAAAAATATTGATGTTAGTAAAAGAAAATTCAAATGTATACTTAATCTGGAAATTGTCAGCCACATGTTGTAATGAACGGATAGATTCTTGTTGGCCACAGATTGGTTACCAAGCCAAGAGCTATATTGTCCTTCATTTAAAAGACATTTTGGGTTTTCATCCATCTTTTGCTCATAAAAATGCACAAAGCAATAATGTGTTTCAGCTGAAATCATTTTTTCCAAGACGAATCATACCATTGATTGGGCAATGTTGTTTTTCTTATAAAACCAAATTTTCCTCTAAAACTATTTCAGCTATTAGTTTGTTAAATTCTTAATAGAAGAGCATCTTGTGGAAGACAGAACTGGGAGACTGGACATTGTCAGTAGCACTTGTTACAGATGCTGTAAGATAATGATGGTAACTGATCACAGCACTTAGGAAGAACATCAATTTTCAGAGAAAACCAAATTTTTGTTGTCTGTTTTGGTTTGGTTTGTTAAAGAATAGTATATTCTGATTACCAGAACACCTTGGGGATATCAGAAAGGATGTTCATTTTCTCCAATAGCTTCTGAACTGAAGAGGTTTTTTTTTTGTTTGTTTGTTTTTTTTTTTTTTTTTTTTTTTTTTTTTTTTTTTTGACAGGCAGAGTGGACAGTGAGAGAGAGAGACAGAGAGAAAGGTCTTCCTTTTCCGTTGGTTCACCCTCCAATGGCCGCCGCGGCCGGTGCACTGCGCTGATCCGAAGGCAGGAGCCAGGTACTTATCCTGCTCTCCCATGGGGTACAGGGCCCAAGTACTTGGGCCATCCTCCACTGCACTCCCTGGCCACAGCAGAGAGCTGGCCTGGAAGAGGGGCAACCGGGACAGAACCCAGTGCCCGGACTAGAACCCGGTGTGCCGGCGCCGCAAGGCGGAGGATTAGCCTAGTGAGCCGCGGCGCAGGCCGGTTTTTTTTTTTTTTTTTTTTTTCTATTGCTTATCAGTCAAACATCTCAAGTGCTGGATACCAGAGCAGGAATGAAACAGTTTCAGCCGCTTATTGGTAGGACATTCCTCTAAATGTATTTTGAAGGTGCAGACAGAAATTATATTAAATTCTTATACTCACTTTTTTTTTTTAATTTGTAGGAAGAAAAACAAGATTTTGATTGAGATTTTTGTGACACTTAACAAGCTGAAAATAGCCTTGCAGGCTCAGTTTCTTTTATAGTGCAACGCAAAAATGTTCACCACTAGGTATGAGTTAACAACATTCTTAGTCACACCGAGCTGTTGCTTCTATTACTATAACAAGTAATAATATACCTTTTACAGCAGTTCATAACTTCTTAGATATTCTTTCTCAGATTGCTATTAACTTATCACATATGTCGACAGCCAACCTACCTTTCCCATCCAGCCAGTATTGATTATCATGAAGTACCAACTAAGTGATTCTCAAGACTTTTTGCAAAATTTTTGAAAGACTGTATCATGGGATAATTACATATCTAAATTGTTGATTGCTATGCATCCAAGGTTATTGCCTGGGGTGTCTGAGTGGCCATTCCCCTTTCACAATCCTCAGAGACCTTGACCTTGCAATAGCTTAAACAGCTCATTGCCCCTTGGTCCAGAAACACTTCATCTACACATTGCTCATGCATTACTGTCCTGGGTCTCCTGCTTTTCTGTTCTACTCTTCTCTGCCTCTCTCACTCTATCTTGTTCCCACATGTAGACTTTCTTCAGGTTCCATTTTTGGCATATTTCCTAGCCTTGCCTATGGCTCTGATCTTTTTGTATCTCCTCTCATTTCTTCTGACCAATTTCTTCTCAGCAACCTTATGTTGTCCCGCGATTCCTAGTACTCCTTTATAAGGACAATTCTGAATCTGAACCGAGCTGAGATACCTGTAGTCATTCATTTCTAACACCTGGTTTCTTGTTTCTCAAGAATGTCCCATGAGTCTCCAACTCGGTTTGACTATATTTGAATTAATTGTTGCTAAACCTTTTCCTGATTCAGTAGCATTCCCCTTGTCTGATCACCAAGACCTGTAGATTCAATCTCTGGAAGACCTTAAGACACCATTCCACATCTCCAAGGCTCTGATCCTATCACACAGGCTCCCGTTCTATTCCTTGGACACACCAGGTACCCTTCTGACACTTCTCTGAGGTGTATATAGCACTGAGTCCTCTTCTTCAAATGTCAAAAAGTCTCTACTGAATGGCCCTATTTGAAACGGTCATTGTCCCCACTCCTCATTTTCTATTACCTTCCAACATGTCACACAATTCACTGATGTATTAAATTTATTTTATTTTTATAGCTTTTCCTATAAAACGTAAGTTCCATGAAGGCATATATTTTTGTCTCTTTTGTTCAGTGATGTATCCCAAGAATTCAGATTGATTCTTTATACACAGCTGACACTCAGTAAATATTGAATGAGTGAATGGTGCGATATTAGAACTTAAAGGAAATACTTCAAAAATTCTGCTGCTTGTGGTTCCTGGCCTGGAGTCTCTGGGAATCATAAGGGAATCTCATAGTTCTTCCCATAATTTTCAGGAAGCCTAAAGAAAGGTAAACATTCAGTTATAATAACATTGCATAGTCCTGTGGTTCTGAAACCACATCCTGAGGTGCAGAGGGGCATGAAAGGGGAGTGCCAAAGTGAATTTGCAAGAACTCCAAGGGATAATCGTATGTTTGTGGAAAACACAATACTTAATATCTTAATATTGGATACCAGAATTAATAGTTCTAGATAGTCCCACGTTCAACATTAACTGTGTTACTCTTTAAAGTAGCATCCTATCTTTGTGAGTCTGAGTTTTTGACAATTACTATAATAAAAAAAATAGGAAAATGTCTTGTTAATGTTCTGAATCCAAGATTTGTAAAGATATACAGTGTCCAATAGCACACATATCCTGGTATTAAATAATTGTGACTTTATAAGAATGAAATGCTTTTTATTTTCAATTTAGGTATATTTCCCAATAGCTACTAGGTTACTAGGACACAAACACTTATTAAATTGTTTGGACTCATGTATTTGTTTTGGCCTGGACTACTGTGGAAAGACATTCACAGTCTTGTGGGTACCCTGGACAGAGAAAGTTTGAGGACCTCTGGCTAATCAAAATACCATTTTTATTGATTTTAGCTATAATCTATAAAATTATTGTGAGAAATCCTATGGATATATGTTTATGAAAAGGTCTTATTGACAATACTATGAATGTCCTTAATAGCAAATATCTTATAGAAGAAAGACAGAAAATCATTAATAAATATTCTCTCTTAGGCTAAGTCTTTTCTGCCATAAGGAACTGGAATAAAAGATATTTAAAGAGTCCTTAGTGGGGGGTGGGTGGAGAACATTAGCTCTTGTTAGTCTTACCGATGCCTTGGTTTAACGCATGAGGAAATGAAGATCTAGAAAGCTGAGTGACGTGATGATAATCACAGAGCTGTGTAAGAAAGAACCAGCGTCATCAGTTAGTCTCTTGTCCCTTTTCCAAGTTAGTTGAGCTTTCTCCCTGTGTCTGTATGAAGTTAGGGAGGGATTTTTGAATACACTGAGATTTTGATAGGTGAATAATGATTGTTCTCTATAACAGAGTGTGTGTTCCTCTTAATTCTGTGTGCTTAAAACCTGGAATACTTGCTAGAAAATGGTAAAAAAAAAAATCATACTAAACTGAACTATATGTGACTTTATCCGAAAAGCATATTTCTTAGTCTCAGATTACATGTGTATATTTACTCATAATTAACCCAACAGGAAATTTGGAAAACCACCTAGCTTACAGAAGGAAACAATCAGTGCTACCCAATAGGTCAATGCATTAAAAATTGAGTTGGTTGAGCTGGCGTGCTAGAAGATTATTTTTTCATCTTGTGGTAAAATGTTAGAATATAGTACTAAAGGGCTGTATACAGTACTCTCCATTAACAGAAATGTTTGATTAAGAGATCAAAACCATTAATACTTTTTATGCAGTTCATATGTTAGGATTTGAAGATACAAATATATTGAATTTCATCCTGGACAGTAAAAATATCATTCCAATTTCAAATCCAAGTCAGTAATCTAAGAAATATATTTATAGTAGCCATAAAATATCTGGAATTGTATATATTTTCAAAAAGGAAAAATGGGAAAATTCATGAAAATGCCTGCTTCTTTAGCATTTCCCACTACAGAGATAGTCTCCTGGCCAACATAATTTTCTCTTTCATTTTGATAATATGGGCTGGAAAATGTCTCAACCAAATTAAGCTAATGGAGATCAGTGTGCAGTATGTGCCATTAATTTGAAGAACAAGGATATAGATAGAGGAAAGACAGGTAATGATTTGTGACAGTGACCCCAAATTTGATTTAAACAATTGGGTTAGCATTTTAAAGTCCCCCAAAGAAATGTGCAACAAAGCCCTCCATTCCTACCATGTGGATGGGGCACAAAAACTGCTGTTAATAAGAGTTCCTGTATCACTTCTTTGAAGATGTCACGGGGACTGCTAGAGAAAAGCAAAACAACCCCAGATTTCCTGTTGTGAGACATTAAAGGTGAACAGATGGTGGAACACTCTTTTTATATGGTTTGAAGACTGGGAGGTGGCCAGTTGCTCGCTGAGAGACCATCTAAGACTTATATTCTCTAGGGATTACTTGGCCAATTTTGCCAAAGCAGCTCCAGCTTTCCAAGAGACCCATTTAAAGAAATTTCCACCTGCAACTGCAAAAGCATGTAAGGTAAATGTTCACATATCCCCATGACCTTAGAGCAGGAAACAGCGGAGACTTATATAGCTGGCCCTCAGTATCCGCACATTCCACAGCCACAGGTTCAGTCACCTGTGGGTCTAAAATATCCAGGAAAAATATTCCATCTGTTCTGAACATTTACAGAATTTTCCTTATCATTATTCTCTCAATAATATAGTACAGTATCTATTTACATGGTATTTACATTTTATTAGAAATTAAAAAGAGTCCACAGATGGTTGGAAGTATGCAGGGGGATCTGCATAGGTCGTAGGCAATTATGATGCCATTCTACATAAGGAATTTGAGCATCAGCATATTTGATATCTGTGGGGGTCCTGGAATCCATCTCCCAGGGATACTGAAGGGCAGCCATCTTCTTGTCAAGGACCCAAGCCCTAGAAGAAGCTCAAAACTTGTCTCTATGTTCTACCAGCTCCCTAATCTTGATCTGATTGATTAGCTTCCTTCAACCCGTTTTTTTTTATGAGTGAAATGGAGATAAGTCAGATTTAATAAAATTCTTTGATAAATTAAATGAGATAATCCATATACAACGTTTAAACAATTCACAGTTGTGAGGTCAGAGTTAACCTACTGTACTGAGGATGGCCAAGAAAGGTTTTTAGAAAGCAAACAACAAAATGCTAATTTCTTTTTCTTTGAACAATTGCATAAATAATTCAAAGTCTAAGTGTTAGACATCATCTGGAACTTCCTTTAAAAACCAACGTGTATCATCTCTCACTAACCAAAAGCACAGGTTGCGTGCTTACCTTCTCATTGTGTGGCTTCATTCCAAAAAGGAAAGCCCACTTATGAATCAGTGATGTTTTGAAAGTGTTGCACAAGAAAACACCAAAACATGAAACCACGGGGCTCTCTAGGAAACACAAGGATTTTCTTTTCAATCATCATTTCAGTATCCGAAAGAGGACACCCATGGAAATCTCTTATAGATGTAGGCTTTGCAAGGGACTCAGCCTATGAAAAAATATAGAGAGGGATTGCAAATCCATATGCTGCTTTAGGTATTCATAGGTTTAATAAAAGCAGCTGGATGTATTGAATGAGCAAATACTGGAGTCCTTAGTTGAGTCTGGAATGTAGTAAGTGCTCAATTATTGGATGCTATTTTGATGGCAACAACAACAGATATAATGGAAGAGAAATCAGATCTCACAAGGACAACACAAAAAGAATTCCAGGACATAGTTTTTCTTGCAACACAAATATTAACAATTTTGTTCATCTTACAACAAATATTTTAAATAGGGAGTCATTTTGATGTAATTATTATATCCTGAAGCAAGGAATATGAACTGGATATTATGCTCCCTGTTTAGCCTGGCCATATTTTGTAGTACCATTAGGTTGAAAATGAAAAGGCATAAATTCACTTTTGACAACTTTGTACACTGATTTAGTTCAATAAACAATCATTGAGTATTTATATGTCCTGAGTCAATCAACATAAATAGGAAGTAGATATAGTTTCTAGCCTATAAAGCAATACCAATATAGAAATGAATGATTTGAAAAATCTAGTTGGTTCAAGACTGGAAAAGAATTCAAGACTGTGCAGAAGCTGGACATAGAAGGCTTATACAGGCCAGTATTGCGGCTTGGCATGTGAGCTTAGGAATAATCCTTATCACCCAGACGATTACCTGCTTACTTAAATATGAAAACACTTAAAATACACACCTTCTTCAGGTAGCTCTGTACAAATGAAGGAAGTATTGCATTCAAGAACAGATTTTGTTATTTTAGTTAAAATATGAGGCATTTTCTCGAAAGTATAAAATGCGGTATTTAGAAAACTATTTTTGGTGCTTCTGTATTTTAAGAAAATACAACCAATAATCAACAACCTGATTAAAACATATCCCACAAACAGAAGTATTTGCCTTTGTTTATAAAAATCCAATACAACTTAGTTTGCATAACATTTTATGGGCAACTTTCATTTCTACATATTGGGCAAGTATAGGAAGTTTTTCATCAATAAAAGAATATGCATATCTTGAGTAGACACTTCAAAAATCTCCCCTTTCGTTAGAGAATACTCATTCCTAGTGAAATAATTTACCCAATCTTTCCACATTTACAATTTTTCTGTGATGCTCCAAGTACATTCTTAGCCTGATTCTGTATATTACATGTCTTGATTTTTGAAAACTACATAATTTTGATTTTCTTTTGGATAAAGAAGTCAAGGCTTACATGTCTTTGCTATTCAAATCCCCAAGGCAGAGAGCACAGGCCCAGTGTCCTGCCTCCAGACCCTCACATGCCATGCCCGCAGCACTGGCCCAAACTTTGGCGGGCACTCTTGCCCGCAGAATTGGTGAGCTGATGATGAATGGCTGTGAAGGCTTTGTGATTGCTCAGGCTCCTTTGTGGGGCTGGACAATGGAGGAGGACACAAGTCTGGCTCAGGAGAGCAACGGATAAAACTGCTGGGCAGGATGGCGGGCTCCTGCCGACACGACCACTTGTTGACATTGAAAGAATTTCACAACAAGTGAGCAGAAACAGAAACGATTCTGTTCGGCAGGGCTATTAGTTGCAACGTGTGGCACCGGAGCGGTCACTCCTGATGTGTTTCCTCACTAATGAGCTCTGAATGCCCATTAAACTGGACTGCTATAGGCCCAGAGCCACCCGCACAATGGCATGCATGAATGCCTTCCCCTGTTGCTATTGGTTGGCCTAAGGAAGCAACAACTGGTATCACTCAAATTTAAACAGAGTTGACAGTACAGTTAAATGATCATTAATTAGAGTTTGTGGGCAGATAAAG